GTCTTTTGAAAGATTTTGTATTTTCAAGGGCTTTCTCAAGTGCCGTTGAAATTTATTTTTCAGTTTAAGTACTTTTCAAGGAGTTCAAGGACCTGCATGGACCTCGCGGTTCTCTCGCGAGACCAGTCCAGGGAGCGAACATGGCCGTTTTAATGCGAAAAAACTAAAAGTAAAGTATACTAGGAAGTTTTACCTGAATAAATGCATTAACAGAAAGTTTGTAGCGCTGTCAAAAAGCTTTTTCTGTAATTTTAAGTCGGTTTTCAAGAATACATATTCATATTCACGGATTGACCATGCTCTCCGCATTCATTTCACTGTATTTCTACATGTGTATGGAAGCAATAGTTTTGCCTTCTCACCTTTGAGTAAAACTTCCGTGACATTCCAGTTTTCACTACGGTGTAATAATAAAGGATATGGCCAAAAGAAGTTCTAGGTAAAAATATTATAGTGTCTAAACTACATATAGTGTGTAAAATGAGACAATGTGTGTATTAGCAACGGCAAGCCACAGAATTCTAGTCTTTTTTATTAAAAAAAGGGGACATCCAACTAAGATTTATCAGTACAGAAACAAAATGGGTGCAATTGTGGATTTATTCTAAATTTGACTCAATTCGTCGAAAAAGTCCAATAATGATGTAATTATTTAGTATAACCGTTGCATTTACAACATGGGAATATCTTGGGAAGTTACATTTTACATATAGGTACAGTATAACCTACAAAGCGTTTTCACTTCGTGAGAATGGTTACTCACCATGAGATCAGGTTTATCAGTGATTTTAGTAAAGGTTGTGTTGATTCTCTTTAATATTAGATTTAATACAGGAAGAATTTCCTCAGCAGACCAGTCAATGTTTGGCAAGGCTTCCAGCATGAATCTGAACAAAATAAGAACGATTAAAAAATTTACTGTATTGAAAATCAACGGCGGTCTTTATATACAGAAGTAGAATATTAATTAATTCCCAGGCAGCGACGCGGTTCACAACGCCGAAAACCTTGGCACCCTTGGGTTTACTGGTATCTAAAGGGTGTGTATATATACCTTCAGGATTTTCAGTATGAAAACTTCCAATTTTAACACGTTCTAAAGCTAAGTGAAATACACTGCGACTGCAGTGCCAAACTGAAAGCTTACATGCAGAATTTGTAACAAGTTGGTGCTCTAATTGCAGTGCCAAACTCAAAGGTTGGCTGCAGAATATCTAACAAGTTGGCGCTGCAATTGCAGAGCCAAACTCAAAGGTTGGCTGCAGAATATCTAACAAGTTGGCGCTGCAATTGCAGAGCCAAACTCAAAGGTTGACGGCAGAATATCTAACAAGTTGGCGCTGCAATTGCAGAGCCAAACTCAAAGGTTGGCTGCAGAATATCTAACAAGTTGGCGCTGCAATTGCAGAGCCAAACTAAAAGGTTGGCTGCAGAATATCTAACAAGTTGGCGCTGCAATTGCAGAGCCAAACTCAAAGGTTGGCTGCAGAATATCTAACAAATTGGCGCCGCAATTGCAGAGTCAAACTCGAAACATTCATAATTTGCAAAAAGGAATAATATATCTGGATTTTAGTAACGATTTTGCTTGTGTTGCCACATTGTAAGTATCGTGATGAACTTGTCTTAGCCAGTTTGGATAAATATGCGTTAATTATTTAATTCCAGCATTGGCATTATCCTTGAGATCAAGTTCATTCAATTTTCTCAAAATTTCATATTATCTGTCCAGGGTTTCACTCTTCATGTTATCGCCATTTGTTGCTTAAATTAACAGACTTTTTAAGATATTTCCTTTGCAGATTAATTGCTTGCTAAAACCCAACTATATTTTAATTTTAGTGAAATTTCGTGCGGAAAATGCAGTTTTATTGAATATTTGTTTGAAAATGGACTAAATAGAATATTTCACTTAGCTTTAGAACGTGTTTTTTATAAAATGCTTTAACCATTCAATTTCGATGCAAAATTGCGAGTGGAAATTTACCAAAACTTCATGTTTACACATTTTCATTCAAGCGACTTAAATTTGAATCTCAAATTACTGAGAATAATTTCAATATTCAGACAAATATATAGCTTTACATGCAACTTCCAACGGTGGAAAAATGCGATTTCGATGGGCATTTTTAAGTCGGATTGTATTTGGCTATTTTTGATCGCAATGATACCAAGGAAGGTACTAGCATTCGACAGTAAAAGCCTGATCTTTATTGGTAGGAAAAAAGTAAATGAATACACGTAATATATATATATATATATGCACGATAACATGTCAAAGTTGGATTGCTTTTTTTATGCACATAACATGTCATGTCATTCAAGTCAGAAATAACGGCTTAGAATACTTACTTTTGTAGTCCTGTTAATTCCAACGATACAGTGTCTGTCAGTGAAAGTTTCAGCAACGTATGTGCAATGTTACACAGTGCCTAAAGACAAAATAAACAATTGGAATAAGCACTGATAATCACAAGCAACTGAAATCTAATTACTTTTCATGTTGGATACACGTATAATGGTCATTTTTCAAATTCGAATAGGCGTACAATGCTATATTCCAAGTGAAATTGCATGCAGTTGGTTAATGAACAATTTAACAAAAAAATCGACGATCAAATAAATGGTTTATTGCTATTTACCAAGCTAGAGAAAGAGAGAAACTGCAATAGTTCATGAACGTACCATGAATTACATTATAGTATATATTATGGTATCAATATTGCCAACATTTTGTGCAGATATCCTGCCCCTTAATTAGTATATACAGTTTATACTCCTACATTTTCGTACCAAGCTTGCATCATTTTTAAACTCTTACAATAAATGAGCAGTGATAAAAAAATGTTCTTGTCGGTAGTGGAGATTCTGACCTGAATCAAAATTATGCATTAGTGTATGAAGTGTTAGCCGCTTCTTTGAACTATGACAACAGCGATGTCAAGGTTAAACAAGAAAACTTCAAATTGAAATTAAGAAAATGATTTGTCAAATCAAAATCAAAGGACAGTGGGATAGATGAAACTACGTAACTACTCATATGTTTAATGCGAATAAATATTGATTTTAAGTTAGCTACCTGGATACTTTCATGATCAAGTGCTAGGTTCGGAATTTGCGCAGGATTCTTTCCGTTTATTTCGCGAAGACGTCTCTTGCTAGTACTGATAAATTCCGCCGCAATGACGAGAATAGCGTTGCGGGGAGTCCGGAATTCATAAAGTGAATCTAAGACCTGTTCTCCTTCATCTTGTGTGCTGAACTTGCTCAAGAATGGTTTAAATTGTTGGTCTACAAAACAACAAAATGCAAGACTGACAATTGGAATACTTACTATCCCACCACTGAATAAAAAATGATATAGCGACATTCATGCATTGTCCCAGGACGAATAAACCCTTTCACGTTATGCTGCTGCAATGCCTTGTGTGGCTATTGCGTGGTCCCGCGGCTGTTTGGTGACGAGAGATAATACAAAGGCGCCTGGGTGCGAGGAGGTTGTGTAACAACAAAACGGGGCTTTTAGGGGGCGGGGCATTCTGCCATGAAAAATGCAGAGGACGTTTTCAAATCATGGTAGAGGTTTTCTTATAATCAGTGGTTTCCGAGAAATCCGGCCTCAAAGTTTCATTATTGTTTGTCAAAATTAGTAACAAAATTTTTCGATTAAAATCGATTGTCTTCGATTAAAAAGCTAATAAAAACATGTACAGTATATTACCTAGTGAGTCAACATCTCTGTCGTCATCATCAGGATATGCTTTGGATTGCCTTAGATTTTCATGGCTTGTAGTAAACGATGTACCTGAGCCAGTAGAACCTTCGCGTGCTCTTCGTTTAGCTGCTGAGCTAAGACCCTTCATCTTTAAGAACGGTCTGCAGATACGCATATATGAATTAGAGTCCAATTCACTGTTTGAGATACTGTATGTGTGAATTTCGATGCGGTTGATCCTATTTCATGATCTTTTCTTAATCACTGATTATAGTTTTCTAAAATTATAACTGAATCTCCACATATCGCTAATATAAGTGCAAATATACAGTGTCATTCCATTCCATTCCACTCCATTCCATTCCATCCCATTCTACTGCACTGCATTACATTACATTACATTACATTACATTACATTACATTATTTTACATCATTGTGCACCACATTGCGATTACATGCATTATGTCACATTGTCACATTATACCACACAACATAACAAAAAACATTGGGAACATTAAAATTTGATTAAATGAAGTCAAACAAAAAAGTGTATGACACAAATAAAATAAAATACATCGTATTACCTTCGTAAGGAGTTACAACTTTTCAACAAAACTTGGACAGAGCAATGCAGTGATTGTAATGTCGCCAGTTCATCTTTCTTTTCACCAAGTCCATCATTATTCTTTACATAATCCAAATAAAATGGTAATATGGAAGAAAGAACAACCTGGGAAAACATTAAAAGAGTATTTCAAATTAATTGCACCATCTGCATGGGTGATCTTATTTTCTATTCGACAAAAACCTTAGCGGGTATTTTCTTATTGGTGCAGACACGGCACGAAATTCTTTACCGTTCCATTTGGGGACAACAAATCAACACTAACTTCCTTTACAGACTTCGTTATTTATAATTCTTATACTGTAATTCTTTTATTAGTAAGTGGTGTGCGTGCTAGTCATTCTTACTTGCAACTGAGAGCTAAGCTGAATTGCAGAGGATGGAGCTCAACCTGATTGAATCGAAGGCAGCCACCTTATAACTCATATCTGATCACGGTGGAAGTCCAGTTTCAGGCTTGTCCCAACCTATCTTGTATGTGCATGTTAGGGATATTATAGCTCGAGGATGTTATTTTACAACGCATGTATAGAAAGCAATGTAAGTTTGGGGGAGCACTGCCTTTTGTCTTATGCATTTGAAATTAGAGCCGTCCGTTAAACACTAACTTGTGGCGTTATTTAACGAGGGCTGAAACCCGAAACTCTGCTCTTTATCAAAATATAATCTCTGTTATATCCACGAAATCACATGGTTGATGTCTGCAATAGTTTGCTAGTATTCCAAAGGTCGTAGGTTCGATTCCCACCGTGGCCAGGCATATTTTTCAAGCCTGCCCGGTGTGGATATACACTCAGAGTAACATGACACAAACATCAGCTTTCCAATATGTCTTGTGCCCTATCACTGACAAAAGCTTTAAATTTGTTGCAAGAACGTTTTCCTAATTTCCATTCAGACATTATCAGGACTTAATATATGCAATAAAACTACTGCACGAGTTGGAATTCAGTTCAACCACACATTAGTTCAACCACTATTGAACAAAGCAAAACAACAGGGCAAGGCTGTTAGTGGTGTAGCCATGGGCAAACAAAGCCAGTCGGGCAATATTCGCTTCACAGTCGGGCAGTATTGGTTTATTATAAAAATAAATGGGACAAATTCTGTTAATTTTGTGGGAAATTCTGTCAATTTGTGGGAAATATGCTATCTAATAGGAATTTTTCGTAATCACTCCTACCCCGCCCCCCGTCGACAACAATTTCGGAAAGTTTCTCCGGAAAATTTTTTTGACAACTCGGGCCCAATCCGAAAAAGTTGGGCAAATTTCTTTCCGCCCCCCCCCCCTAAATTTTTCCTTCCCGTACGCCCATGGGTGTAGCTCATAAAAGTGCAAGTATAATCTGTTTGGGTGCTTACCAACATTTGTGTAGCCCGAATGGACTCAGGTGAAAAAGCAACGACGGTCACACAAAGACGAATAGCGATGTCAATCTTGCATTCATTTTCTTCAAGTTTTCCTTCATAACATGAATCCTAGCAAAACAGTAGAAATCGGCGATCAGCAGGAATCGGGTTTTACCATAAAAAAGTTTCCTATCTCTATCGTCCTTATCTCTATTAGTGTATCTATTTTGTCTTCATTGTTTACTAAATGCCCTATCACATTCTTGCAAAAAAACAGCATTTAGTACCCCCCCCTCCCTCCATTTCAATGTTGAGAAATACATTATCGAAATAAAATTTGCACGGGGTTCCAAACATGCCATGATGTGCATATGAACATTGACTTCATGTTTTAGTTTTCAGCAAATTGTCCACATATATATTTTTCACCATGCATCATTTTAGATTGTAGTACGTTTTAGAAAATATTATGATGGGAGCGATCGCCCCTAAATCCCCCCCCCCCTAGTGCTCTCCACTGCTGCATAAGATTCGTCTTTCAGCTAGTGTCACGACATATAGAAACAGCTTTCAGCTGTCCAATTATACTGACAAAAATGTTACAAATTTCAACTCCATGCTTACCAAGGGTTTCAACGGTTTGTTGACTTCAACTAATGCTAGAATATCCAACGAATCGGGGACATCCTTTTCTAACGACGACAGTATGGCAAACAAACATTTCGGGAGAATCTGAAAAGCAATATGAACGATTATATAAAACGGTATACGTTAGTATAAACCTAGTATTGCAACAGCATGCATTCCTTTAGCCTGTATTCCAGCCCACACACCTCCTTCATCGAACTAGGTATAAAGGGGTGTCTACATGGGCCAGAAGTGCAATCGGATAAAAATCAATCAAGCCATTACATTTTAATTAACATTACCATTTTCGCCAGGATTGAAGTGCAATCGTAAATAGTATTTAGAATCGGAAATAGTTCCCTCTCCAAACTCCCCCACCCCTCTTTCTATACAGAAAATCTTGATATTATTGAATCGAAAAGAATTGAGTATGAAACTGTTTTAGTAAAGTAATGGTACAGTAATGAGCTGCCGATAACGCACTGAATTTGTTTATGCTTGCGGTTCCAAAAAATGTAACACTTTTAATCCTAACTCAAAGATGTACAGTAAACAAACCAAATCGCTATGGCCTACTTGTAACTGTACGAAAATATTATCATGATGGTAAAATAAACAAACCATGTTACTCTCATCTGTTTCATCAGAGTGTTCAGGCATCTTGTTAACGTTTTCCGTGAGTAGGATCGGTTCAATACTTGCAAATAACTGAAACATATACATAAAAGAACATATTAAATCAAAGGTTGAAAGAAAATTGACGATTTCGGAATAATCCTCTGACGACATTTTCTGTTAAAAAGAGGTAAATACAGTTTTTCTTCATTACAGTTTTTCTTGTATTATTAATAAAGTATCATAAATATGGGACGCAGTTCCAAGAAAAACTCTTCCGCGTGAGCAACCATGAGTTAAAATAATTTAGATAGTATTACTGAATATTTAAGACGTTTGGAAAATATCGAGGGAGAGGCAATAGCTCTCCTGATTGGACAATTTTACATTCTGTGCTCCCATAAATATAATAAGGGATAACGTTTCTGTTTGTCTTACAGTTTTTCTTGTATCATTATTAAGTAGTACAAGTAAAATACTTCACCACAAAATTGGAAAACTTACTTGAAGGAGAAATGGTTTTTGATGGAGAATATAGAATTGACTGATCACCAACTAATGATAAGGAAAAACATATGGAGATAAATAGTATACTCATAAAGGAAGAAATAGAGTGCATCTCATGTCTCTTATTCAAATGCTGAAAATGCAGACTGTCAGGGAATCAAGCGTTGTCAGGGAATAAGCCTACCTTCGTCAACTATCATTGCCCATAGTCTATAGCCAATGATGCAATGTGTCAGCACGCCATATATATACATTGTTTTTAATAACAAAAACAAAGTATAGCACTCAGGGTTTTGATTTACATGGAATACTGAATTTACCAACTGTAGTTTCTGCCCACACGATAGGGATAAACCACACTAAAGGTTACAGGACACCCTTTTGGGCGTTTTGCGGAAAATCGCTACTGCGCGCTCAATATCAGTCCGATTTTCATCAAATTTTCACCAAATGTTCTCCAGTGCATGCAAAATATGGTAAGGTTGTAAAACTGACAAACAACGAACTAATATAAGAATTATTCAGGAAAATCTTAAATCGCGGTACCTTTACGCTTTTGAGTTATGTTCCTGCTGGTTTTAAGATATATTTATGAAAATATAATTTTTATACAGTAAAATAGTTGTTCTAAAAAATTGTGTTCGGAAATTTTTGTTTATTTCGTCATTCGATCCGCTGATATGGCAATTTCTTTGACGACTGCAATATATTTCTGAATCGTTTGAGTGAATTGCTCGTTATTATTAAAATATCCAAAATTAGAAAAAAGCCGAACACTATTTTGAAACTGACGTCTGTAGCTATGTCCTGTGAAAATTTGAGAAAAATTCGTTAAAACCCGCAGGAGAACAACTCGTTTGAAAATCAGTAATTGCCGTAAAATTCTTCGGGAGAAAATTGAATTTGAATATTATATTTTCAATGTTTTTCTTATTACAGCGAAATGTATTTTATTAAATAACTCTGCGAGTTTTCAACATTTTTCGTTCAAACTTGGTCAGATAGTATAGGACCAGTTTAATGCTTCCATGGAAACCAATAAAAAAAATGTAGACAAAATTAACACTCAAAGGTGTTCTGTAACCTAAAGCACATGTACAATAAACCACTAAACTTCTTAGTTTAATTAATTCGAACTATACACTGTAATCCCACAATCAAACAATCTTTACTAAAGAGCAACCAACCTCTACAGCGTTGCATACAATTTCGTTATTTTCGTGATGAGAATAAAGTAGCGCCAATGTTGGCAAAATGTGGTGATAACTAAAAAGAAAAAAATAGCTATACCTCAGGTGGTATTGGTGATAACCAAAGAATGCACGCCTTCATTAAATGGCCCTTAAAACGGCAAAACCTTCAAATTCTATTCCAATATGCATGCAGTTATATATTTCGATCGGGACTTTACAACATGAGGGCCGTGTTGTATTGAACTTAAAGTTTATGTAAATCACTTAATCAGCATGATTCTGTATCAGTTGATGATTTCTTTTGTGTTTTCTTCATTAATTACTAATGAGTTTCCCAAGTTAAAACTTAAAATACACCACTTCATGTTGAATCCGTACCCGTCAATAGCGAAAATGTCGGTGAATTTAATTGCAGCATTGATAAGTGTGGACAGACAAAATCTCAGCATGGATGAATCTTCACATTGTAACAATAGTGCGCCATTGATGACATTCAAAAACAAATGAAGATCATTGTCTCCCCATGGAAACGAACTGTTCATCGAATCAAACAATTTCGACAAAAGCTATAAAGACAAAGATAATCAACAAGTATATATATTAAATATGATAAATTGAAAAGGCATTTTTTAGATACTTTACTAGCTTTCAATGTATTAATTTAATAAAAACTTAGTTCTGCCTTTCGTAGAAGTTGAGTTGTTTAGAATTAACAATGTGGCGGAGTGTTTGCGAATCCTTATTTGTAGGTGAGAGCTATAAGCCGAATTGCAAAGGACACAGCTCATGCAAGCTGAATAGCGCGGAAGTCGCAGCTTACGAAGGGCGCCTCTGCCTCTGGCAGTCCGCTTATGACTCATATCTGATCATGGAGCACAGCTACGGTGGAAGAGCTAGTTAGGGGAAAACCCAACCCAGAGGAAACAGGAGTACCCCCAAGAAAACCCACGACTTTCGGAAGAGCGCTGAATAACACACATACACAGGGCGTATCAAAATAAACGCAATTCATCTTTTGTGCTTAATAACTTTCGAAATACTATTTCTAGTTAAACGCTTTTAGGCTTACTTCAAAGCTTGTTCTTTTCTCTTTCAAACAAACTATTATCCTTGTCTCCAATGCTAGTAATAATTGCACAGGACAAGATTTAGTAAAACCTCTCATTTTTAGTTGCTGTTTAATTATGCAAGTTTACTATGTTATTGTTTAGTCGGTTTAAATGTTAGAATTTTCTTCTTTAAACTTTAATGTTGTCGTCACTACATCTGGAAAACCACGTAAGAACAAATTAAAAGTATTTTAAAAGAGACCATATGTTGTTTGAAAATCCTAAACGAATGCTAAAAATCCTCAAAACATTCTGGTGTCTGAGCCAGAGTGTCATCGAATTGCGATGTAATGTAAACAGAAATTATAGCAAGTTGATGTCAGTCAGCCTAGATGGTTCAAGCCAAAATTATATCGCATTTGAAGTTTCAAACTGAGTTAAAAATAGTGGAAGAAAAGCCGTAATTATACCTATTGTTACAATCCATTTAATAAAATGCAACATTTTTTGTTTTAATGAAAAAATCAGTTATTTTCATGAGAACGATTTGTTATTCCATCTCAATTTTTTTAATCTCCAATCGCAATAACGTATTAAAGTATTATTACCCGCGAACCGATGAGTCAAATTTAAGAAACAACCCACTGTTAGAAAGCTGAATGGCTACGCTTTAAAATGAATGTAAACTTTAACGTTTTCGTCTATTATTTGTTTAGCAATTTACATTTCAGTCGAGGATTGCGCTTTTTTTGATACACCCTGTACAAGTGTCATGAATCCACAGCGAAAATCGAACCCACGATCCTAGAGGTAAAACGCGCTTGCTCTGACGATTGCGCCAGCAAAGGCCACCAACGTGATGTCGGCGACGCAATTTTTTTTCCGTGGACAGTCGGACTCCTCATTGCTAGTCGGACGCATCATTGATCCGCGCCCTTAAACAAAACATTCAGCGGATACTCTTCTTATTAGATGCGCTTTCCAGTGTGTCTTGCGCACGCAATTGGTTATTTCAAAATATTGTATTGGGCCGTATTGCTTGGTTGAGATGCCAAAATCTGAGCAGGACACATTGTGGCTTCAATTATATCTTGTGTGGTGATGACATCTGACATATTTTATTGAGTTAAATTCGCCATTCCCACTTGCTTTTCTTTGCTTTTGTAACTGTTTTTTTGTAAATCTTTTCGGAGCGATTGCAGAATACCCGTTCACTTTTAAGCTATGCCTTTCAAACATCATGGATACGATGTATTAAAACATCTATATTGAAATTCTCAATAGATTAATAATAAATAGATTGATATATTAAAATCCCATGGTGGTAAAGGTAGCAATGAGGCATACGGTAACTTAGCATTAATAGATTAAATTGTCATAGTGTTAATGCTAGTGGATACGCGGATACGCAGTCAAGTAGTTATTTCGAGAACGAGGCACACAGTTAGATTAGCATTAGATCAAATTCTCATGCTACAGTTGGCTAGCTCTATCTACATGATATGATATTACTAGTGGTCAGACGGGTATTCTGCAATATTTCTATTTGTAGAAAGTAGTCTTGATGGTCGCTTTGAATCTTCCAGTATTTTCTTGCACATTAGTTATCTTATCCTAATTTTCTTCAATTGGGATATATAATTTTACTGACTCGCAATAACAGTTCTTAAGTATTTTCGGAACAAGAAAAACAAGTTTGTAGATTTGCTATGGCATCGCGAAGCAAATGGTTCACCTTTTTACACGTGGTCGAAGAAGAACAACGTGGAGTGATGGATATATGGTGCACCAGTGGGTTACGAAGGGATCCATCAATAACGCGCGGAGGCCTAGTGGATCGACGCGGATCAATGATGCGTCCGACTATCAATGAGGAGTCCGACTGTCTACGGAAAAAATTGCGTCGGCGACGTGTAGCAATGGCAGTTATTAGGTAACTTTACATTTAGACCGCAAATTTCATTTGCGTGCTAGTCTTCCAGACCTTGTTGTGTATGTATGTACACATGGTGGAATGGATGAAGTGATGATGTATTGTTAGACATACCTTAATCCACATTCTCTTGTGAATGCCATCTATGGAGCAAAGTTGCTGGAAACGAATATAAGAAAATGTTGTTTTATACGTCAGCGAGCAGTTGTATCTATAACTATTTGTAATGAAAATTCCAAAACACTTGTCTTAAAAAGTACTTTTCTATCGTAACTATATATATGTATGAACTTTACTTCAAGCTATCAATAGGAGACTTGAATCTCGACTCATGAAATAAAAGCCTCTATGGATTTCTAAAAGACCTCTAGCCCTTTGTGACGTGAATAAGTTTGTGAATAAGTGACAATAATAAAAAAATGTGAATAAGTTTGTTATAAGGGCGAATTAAATAAGAAACAACACTTTTGCTGACGAGTATATATATTAACTATATAGTAATTCGAAGGTCGCGGGTTCGAAACCCAGCCGCGGCAGGCAAAGTTTTCTGCTTGCGCGCCGTCTGGAAATTATGATATATCTCACTCGAGAACATTTTATCCTTATATTATTAAGTATACTGTATATATAACTCATCGCAACCGCGGTATGTTCACAAGATTGTATACTGAAGCGTGTATATTGAAGTCGGGTCGCAATTTTAAAAACTTTAGTTATATTTCCTTGATTAATAAATATGTTGTATAAAAATAGTATTTTTAATTTGTTTTGCACATTAAAGGAGATGAATAGATAATAAGTTTGTCTAGTCATACGAACAATTCCATTCATCTCATAATTTTAACCAATGATCAGTTACAATTACATGTACAGTACACATTCAAACATTTTGACATCCATACTTCAGAAGGAAAATGTAACAAATAACCCTATCCAAATAACTTACCCTCCCCTTTAAACCTCCTTCGTACAATCCAAAATCAACGTCCAAAGCTTTTCGTGGAAATGCAATTTGTTTACTTAGCTCAGAATGCAAGAAACTCACGTGATGCTAAATGAACACAAAAATATCAATTAAAAGTTTTTCGAAAAATGGATCATGAAAAGTGTCATAATAACTTACCCAGTTCTGCACCGTTTCCAAAATACCCAATGTTAGATACAACCGTCCGACTTCGGCCAATTTGAAGGTGAACGCCTATAGATAAAAAGAAATATCCGAAATATTTTAACATTTAAGTTACTAACCAGTTTAGGTCAATGACGAGACAAAGGACTTTACAGGAGCCTCAAAGTCCGAATGCGTTTTTAACACACGAGAAATCTACGCGAACTTTGAGATCCTGGTAAAGCCCGAAGTTGGACTAACTTCTTAAACGTCGTAATTGTACCGTACATATAGTTTCAAAGTACTAGTACGAGTACTTTGAAATTATTATGTATATCCTGATTTCAAAGTACTATAGTATTAAGTACTACTACTTAACTATAGTACTTTGAAAAGTACTATAGTAATGTACTAAAGTACTTAACTAAAGTACTTAAATAAAGAAACATTTCAAATAGTGTTTTAGAGCGTATATATCGAATCAATATCGATTCATCTTCAGCAGTATATTTACAAGATATCCTGTAGGACGTCTTCCTCCAGACTGAAAACACAATTAAATATTGATTTCTTTTGTTTTTGCCTTTTGATTCATGTATTGTAAATGAATTTGAGAAAAATACGTCAGCAATATGAATATGTCATGTTACATCCATGTTGAATCGATGTTAGACGTTTTACAATTGCTTTAACCGTAGACTGGAAATGTAATGAACATGTCTTTGAATGGTGGGGGTAAGAGGGAGAGTTTTCTAAATATTACGAAAGGTGGTCAAATAATTGGTAGTGTCGTAGATGATTTTCATACATTACCTTTCTTCGATCAGTTGAATATTAACGCCAATATTAAAGCACGTATATACCAAACGAGTCGTAAATTGCAGGTATGCGAAAAATATGATTGCTTTAACGGCATACGACTGCACTATAGAGTCGTTACTATATCACAAATTGACTGACCTGCTCCTGGCGCTTAACGTATGCATCCAGCTGCTTGAAAACTTGAAGTTTCAGTTGTGGATAAGGAAAGCCTTTCTTAAATGCATAAATATCTCGCACGAGATGTTTCCCTTCTAATATTTGCCCTACAAAAAGAAGTCAAAAAAGATACAAAATTACCTGTTGTCTAAGACTAAGTGCAATACATTGTCAAATAAATGGAGTAAGTGCAAAGTTCTCTCATATGAAGTTCTTTTTATAAATTTTGGTGGTGTTCTGCAGTCATTATGTTAGTTTTTTGGTGGAATAACATCCTTTGACAACGCTTTATAATTTAGACAAAATCACGGCAAAGCTTAATTATTCACTAGAAATAATTAAATACATTAATGCAAACCCTTCGCCCCCGAAAATAATCATCTTAGCTTTTCTACTTCATTCCCATTATTTTTGTCAAGCATCTCCTAAAGCTATATATATATGCGTCTAGCACTTGAAGCAGCTGGGAAACACGCTATCACATCAAGGGCTAAGCATGGCATACGCCTTGCATTTTCATGCCGAGAGTGTTCGAGTTCAAATCCCAGCCGAGGATAATTTTAACTTTCTACTAATTTTAACTTTTTAGGTTAAAAATTAGTATTGGTTTGGTGTTATAATATTTAGAATTTTACTTTAATTGGAAGTATACACGAAGTCCTGCCGGAAATTTAGTTTTTCAAAACACAACCCGGCGGCGGGCTTAAAGTCGTGTCTCTGAAGTCGCTGATACAATGACGTAATCGGGTGCATGGTGCTTATGCTGGATCAGAAATTACCACCCTCGCCAGCAGTCTTCGACTTTGAGAGCGAGGGGAGCATAATTTTAGATTTTTAGTAATAAACATCCCTTTACCTGATTTCGCATCCAAGAGACGATAATGTGGATTCTCCAAAGACCATTTCGCGGTACAATATTGCAATATGTGGTCAAATGTCATATCCTGCAAGGGAACAATATATTTTCGTGAGTGCAAACGCCTGTCTGTTCAATTTTATATTAACTTAAAAGTACCGGTTTCGTTGTGTAAATAGATAGGAGAAAAATTGGTGATTTAAAATTAACTGCTCATTTTTCTGCTATCGTCTTTAATTTGCTTATTTTAATTAGGTTTCCAAACAAAAAGCGTTACTTAAACATGTAGTCATTTTAGACACATCGCCATAGTTAAGTAAAAGTGATAATTATACTGGATTCATGCAAGTGATAACATGCAGGGATCGAAATTTACGCTATTCCGTTATTCCACGAATATATATAGTCAAATACATGACGGAATGGCAAACTTTATGATCTTAGTAATTCCGTTTTGTATGTATACAGGGTGTATCAGAAAAAACTGAACAGATTTGAAATTAATTGCTCTCAATTTCGCAAAACAGCTATTAGTATCCAGTTTTTGATGTATTTTGCTTCTTTGGGTACCTATAATGTAGAATAATGAAAAAATTTACTCGAACTCCAATTTTGTGAAACAGGGGGGTGTGTCTTTTCCAACAAACTAAAAATGGCTTGTGCACGAAATTTAAAAGCTTTAATCATATTTTGAGTTAATAAATGGAAAATTTGTTGGGTGTTTAGTTACTGTACAAAATGTCAGACAATTTGCTTTAGTTTAAGCCCTTTAACTATTCACGCGAACTTACATTTTTTCCTAAAAATCAACTATTTACATGCTTAATTAATGCCTTTGTCTATTAACTCAAAATATGATTAAAGCTTTTAAATTTCGTGCGCAAGCCATTTTAAGGTTGTTGGAAAAAACACACACCCCTGGTTCACAAAATTTGAGTTCGAGGAATTTGTTTCATTATTCTACATTATAAGTACCCAAAGAAGCTATATAGATAAAAAAACTGGATACTAATAGCTGTTTTGCGAAATTGAGAGCAAATTCTTATCTGTTCAGTTTTTTTTATACACCCTGTATAGTGACAAAATTGTTGTTGGTTTACCTATCTACACCACTGGTACATTACGAGAACGATTCTACTCTTAACATACTCTGTCGACTTTGTATAGTCAAGTTTTCCACGTGCATTTGATAGATTCTTGTTGTATAAATAAAGTGTTCCTATATGTTTGTTTGTGATGTTCAGTTCAGAGGTCTTGCGGCTTACGTCCAAATTGTCAGAGACACTACCCTGTGAACAGACTCTCGGAGACATACAACAATAGTTGATCCTTATACGGAAGAGTAATTTCAAAATCTACTATTCCGGTTGTATATTATATAAATTAGAAACAAATTACGTAGCCTTCGAGCAAGCTCTCAAGGTGAAATGAGAGCCTGCACTGATGACATACAATTTTGAATATCTGCCCTGAAACGTTCGTTTTTCCAAATATGGAATGTGATAATCTTAGACCGTACAGTTTATACTGTTTTAAGTTTAGACTGTACAATTTATACTGTTTTTCAAAATATAAGATATTCAAGCAAAAATTTAAATGTTTTAAATGCTGTTTTCTCAAAACAGAACACTTCGTGCTTTGAGATAAGTTGGCCAAGACCAATTTGATCAATTGATGTGTTTTTATGCATAGTGCTTCAGCAGTGACATAGATAGAGCTCAGCGTAGACATGTAAATTATAGCATCTGACCAATGGCAATGAGAATTTCGCGTCCCGATTCGAGAAGCATGCAGATATTCAAAATTCTATGCCATCAGTGCAGGCTCCCATTTCACCTTGAGAGCCTGCTCGTAGGCTAACTTGGCCTAAAAATTCTAACCATTTCTATAGAAGGTTCTTCTATAATACATACCTCTCGCACTGTTAACTTTTCATTTTCTGTCATTGAATTAGGACATGTAACAACAATTTTCTACAAGTAGAAGAAATGTGATAAAACCACATCGTACATTAAGATAATGGTGTTTTGAAAAATTACAGATACTCTCAAATTTTACATCATCCCATTACTTACTTTCGTTCCCGGAGTATTTGCAGTAACCATCAGTGTTCTCTAAATATAAGCACAACGGTATTTAACAAATAGATAAGACTATGCCGTTGTCTGTTCAGTTATAGATACACAGTATGACGCCATAATGTGGGAAGAATATACTTGCAGTATTCGCCTTCACTTGGATGAATAATTAACAATTATTCTACGACCTCGAGTCGAATATGAGCTGATCGCCGAGAGTGAGTGGAATAACTGTTTTATTATGTACACAAGGTCTGAATTCGCAGACTTTCCTTTTCGGATATTTTCAATATTTTTCTATTTTGTTTATGTTTTTATCTTCGCTCTTTCGGCCGATTATTTTTTCAAAAATATATATATTTTAACCATTTTAAATATTAAAAATTCAGTTGCAGATTGTGTTTTTAATCCTGTAAAGGCTATAAAAAGCGAACAACTTGTTGTTTTCTCGTTCGCAAAACGTCGGAAATTCAGTTTGAGCCGCCATTTTGTTTTTCTCCACTAGCAGGATATGAGCTAATATCCTGCTGGTAGAGAACCAATCAGATTGCAGAATACCTCATAACCAGACCTTGTGTATATAATAATTCACTATATTCTCAACACATGGCTGCATGATTAAGTACCTCGCAATGTTCTTTCTTGGCTGAGTACTTCAGGTCCTTTAGATAAAGTTTGGGAACGCTCGGTACAATCTGGCACATAAATAAAAATGTTAACGTGATTTGAAAGCTACAATGATGCATGTATATGGTGTGGTATGCAGTTTCTATGCAAAATAAAATTGCAAATAATGATTCAACATAATGAATGCATTTTTGGGGGACACCTTAGCACGACAATAATGGGTACCTTCCACAATAAAGATGAAAGAACGAGAGCAATAGCATCGTCAGAACATGGTTGACTTCGACGTGAATAAAACAGAACCACGCCCACCTAAAGAGAAAACAAATATACTGTTAAATATTAAGAATGGTATTCTTACAAGCGAGACAATCATGCTATAAGGCAGGGTTGTACGAGAGGGATGGTATTAATTAGATGATTTAACAATTTCATGTAAATTTCAGTGACTGACATCCCAATATTTTTGCAGATTGCGTAATCATAACCAAAAAGTTCTTTTACTGTAGGGTAGAAATGATTTGGTAATGATTTTAGTAATCTGTAATTGGTTACTATGATCGGAGTATATATTTGGCTTCAACATGAAATATCTTCAGTAGATCGAAATATTATTTTCTACAGAGTCGGAGTTTTGAAGGTTGTACCAATTCTGTTCATATATTTACAGACTAGAAATACATGCATGCAACAACCCCTCGCCTATATTCTCCAAACATTGTTTCAACATGAAGTATTCGTAATTACGCCAACATTGAACGCAGGCTCGCGTTACTCACGTCATGTTAGTCATGGCAACACGATAATTTTTGTTTTAATCTGCAAACAATAGATGAAACTTGAACACTTTTAAGTACAGAACTATCAATTTCTAAAATATATAACGTAGGTATATTATTTTGGTTTCTATGTGCTTTATTTTAATGTAAAATTGAAAACGAAACTCTACGTAAAACGTTTTTAAATGTGAATTGAAATTCACTGCTTTTTGCCGATAACTTGAGCTCAACTTATTACTCGCACATTGAAATGAAATAAATTTAATTCGTACAGGACGCTAATCAGTGAAAATAATTTGCTTTCCTTTTTATCATGAACTTCTACAAAAGTTAATTTAACTATGAAACTTTCGCATACAATCCATAGGAAAGACTTGAACAACAGGAACAAAGTGGCTATAATATTAATACACAATCATACATAAACAATTGAAACAAACTTGCTCTATAGGCTATACTTTAGGATTTCTCATACTAAATCAATTCTTATAAATGTTTACGTTTAAAAATTGAAAAAAGTTTTATAATTTGTTATGTGAAATGATTTTCCAAGCTTTCTTACATGTAATTTTTATATTTCCCCTTCTTCACTCCTGGCAAACAGCCTTATTTTGAGATCAGTGAGATGACCACCCATACCGACCCATGAACCGCGCTCGCGATATTTGATGAACTTTAGACTTCGCTAGTGCGTTCTTTTCCCCGGGTGTAAATAGCCGGGTGGGATTAGTACCCTCGCCCCGGGATTACGCCCGGAACGGCACTCCGCGCCGTTGGCTCGGAGAAAATACTGCATGATTCAGATAATCCGCGGGTTGATAAAACTATATTCTCTATATTATTACTATCAGAACAGTCAGCTTGAGGGGTGAAAAAACGTATTAACGATCATATGTACCCCGCAAGCCAACAAGTGAAAAAGTGTTGCCCGCCGCGACCGACTACGTGCATACACAAACAAAATGGCGGCACAACTCGCAAGTTTATAAACTACAATTTTCCAAGTTTGCGTTAAAATATAAAGAATGCAAAAGAGACGAAAAATACACAACAGGCAACAATAAATGCTGCTGAAACTGTTTGAGGTTTTTTAAATTTTAAACTCGTTTACATCACAGAGTTTTTGTATAAGAAATTACACGGTTCGAGAAGTATTAATGAAAATATCACATGCGTGTTTGGCGAAATATTTATAATACCGCGAGTGCGTATACCCTTACGAAAAAATCCTATAGGATCCTATAGGAATTCCTATAGGAAATGCAATTTCCTATAGGAATTCCTATAGGATCCTATAGGAATAGAATTCCTATAGGATTTCCTATAGGAATTCCTATAGGATTTTTTCGTAAGGGGTAGCACGAGCGGTATTATAAATATTTCGCCAAACACAAGTGTTGGTTATTCAGCATCGAGCTTATATAATTAAGCCAATCAGCGATTAGCTTACATCAATTGTTTACATCATGCTCGCACCTATAAACCTGCGAACGGGCGTAGTTTGGCCTCGTGCAAGTCGTGTTATTCTTTGCCATATTTTGGCTTCAAAAATATCTTGATTTTATCTTGAATTGGCTGTCTTGTTTTCACCATTCCATCCTCATCTGGTAAGTAGTCAAATACCACATATTTTATTATATACATTTATACAGTATAAAAATAATCATTGTGTAATATTTTAAACAGTCAAAACTCTGGCTGCAGGCATTATATTGCCAATTAACAATATCACAAGAAACTAATGTTCTCAGGAGATATTGAATTAAATCCTGGTCCTGTATTTCTGTAACTCTGTTCAAAACAACACTCCAACTAAGTAGTCTAAGTTGTCATCAAATGTAATGTTAGAGCAAAGGTAAAGATGCCATCAGTTAAAATTATACTTATACATTTTGGTTTTTACACATTATAAGAGTTAATTAAACCAAATTGTTACAACCATTTTCAAATGCTAATAAAAGAATCCCCACCCTCCCTCCTCATTACATTGTCATTTTGCTTTCTAATATAAATGTTTCTGTTTAGAGATTAATACAAGAATGATGAATACATGTACTGATGGACTGGATATTGGCTGGATAACTTTGTCAGAACAACCCACTTGCAAAACAATCTTTTTAAAATACCTTAATTCATTAGTTTTATTTAACACCTACAATAATCATATATTATGGATGAATCAGATCAATGGCACACATTGTACAAAACTAAACTTGTGATACCTTCCACTCAAACAGATATTCTCCCACAACACAAATTGTTTTTGTGTGGATATGCGGAGTTAAACCGAACAGTGTGGTATATCATTAACTGTGCACAGGATTGGAATTGAATTATATACTTCACTCATGCATGACCTTCAAAACATTCTCTACTATTCAGTGGTCTTTGATATATGATTGAATCTTTGCTTCAGTAATGCATGTTCCTCGATTAGTTTGTGTATGTTACTCAACAGTTAACATTGGCAAGTGTAAAGAACAAGTGACAGAACTTTTGCTTCATTTGATTACAATAAAGTTTTGAAAATTTGATGAGTATGGATTGACAAGTGACAGTTTACTAAATAGCCGGTTGTATAGACACTTCGAATATTGTTTGCATGAAATTTTTCATTTCTTGACTGCATAATTATCCGTTACAAGCGTAATCACATTATAAAATTAGTTAAATTTTCTCGGCGGGGAGGGGGAGGGGGCAGTTGCCCCTGCTGCCCTCTGTGCAGTGTACAGCCCTGTTAGATTTGTATTATGTTTGATTTTAAAATTTTATTTGCTATTATATTTATCATAATAAGCGATGAAAGTAGATATGGGTTTTTGTTTGGTGGCCCAAACGTGGACATACAAAAATATTGGTGGCCCATCGAAACTGCCCAAAGGTTTTTCCATCCCAAATCACTCCGGCCCACCCTAGCAGTTACTTTATGACCGGTCCCTAAGAGCTCATTTTAAAACAAGAGCTCAAATGTACAATTTCAAGTTGTTTATTGTGTTGACTGTTGACATTTTGTGTTTAATGCACGCATGCATGATCCACGCGGGCTCGTTTCCGTGCCGATTAATCTTTAATCGGCACACTTGTGCGATTAACGTTTAATCGGCACGGTTTTTAACCAATCAGAATCGAGTAAATTGATTAAAATGATATTAGCCATGAAATACAATTGTTGTATCAATGTTGAATGTTGATTTTTCTTTCGTCACTATATAACAAAACACTTACGCCTGTATTCTAATAGCCCATGTGCAGGCCCAAGGGAAGAATAGTAGGCCTGCAAGCAAGGCCCGGTATTTTGTAAAACGCCCCTTTTCATAACACGCCCCATTCGCGCGTCAATTGTCAAAAAGAACCAATGACAGCAACCCAAATAGTAACAAACAAACTCGCATTAAAATGTTGCGGGGTTTTCTCTGCTTATTTAAAATATAAACAATGTGTGAATGGCTGTGTTTTAACTCCAAAAAAGCAAGCAACGCAGTCAGTAATTGCCAAATTTGCAAGTGCTCATTTTCAACTAAAATCGGAACAGGTAAATTAGGACGAATTTCAACAGAAAACCAGTCTCAAGTTCAAATCGTGAGGGAAGTCGTGCGACCACATTAGCATTAATGTGTGCTTCGCTGTCGCCATTGTTATGAATAAATTGTCTCACTTAATATCAGATCGTGTGTGCAATTCTTGTCGGGCGGCGGAAAGTACGAAATTTATTTCAGTTATTTCATTTGGTAAAGAACTCTACAAAAGAAGAGAGCGTTCAGAGTCCAGATCGTTTCGTTTCAAACGGCAATTACCGTCTTCTGTTTCGCTCTCTCAGCGAAGCCTTGCAAATCGCAAAGTGTTTCGAAAAGACTTATATGCAACTGCCTCTAAATCTACACCGCGAAAAGCGCTGTTTTCTTCAGTGGAAGATATCAGAGTCAACATCAACCAAAAGATAATTTTCTTGAGGAACATATAAGGTATCAAGTCTGATTGAAATTAATGAAACTCAAGTAAAGGTTACTATAGTTTACCCCAGTCGTAATGTTGCTATTCCAACACTTCACGACAAGCAATCCCCATTGGCATAACGGCAAAAACATCTCTTCCTTCAAGTAAACAATAAACAGTCTGTTCTTGTTCCACTTTTAATGGAAAAAAGTGATCAATTTTCGAATTTTAAGCTTATCGAGAGCCTTTGTGATAAATCACTGATCTAATTATAGAATCCAACAGCAAACAGCCAATCAGAATGCCGCGTTCGTACGTGGGCGAACGCGGAAAGTACAAAATAGCGGGCCTTGCTTGCAGGCCCACTATTCTTCCCTTGGGCCTGCACACGGCTAGTATTCTAAAAGCACACTCACACTCAATGAGTGGAGGTTCAATCTGAGTTTTTCTTGATTGTCAATGCTGTTTTTGAATAGCTGGAGTGTGAGTAGTCACATAGTAAGGTACGACACTAACCCTCCAGCTATTCAAAAACAGCATTGACACTCAAGAGAAGCTCAGATTGAACCTCCACTCATTGAGTATGAGTGTGAGTGAGCTTTAAGAATACGGGCGTTAATATCTGTTCCCTCGGGAAGTAGTTCGTTTTGTTTTCCCTTCAAACTCAATGTTTCCTCGATTTCGTCTCGGCAAACATTAAGATTCTCTGGAAAACAAACACGAGCTGCAAGTTTATTAAACGGCTTCAAACACGACTACAAATTCAATAGATATATTGCCTTATTAGTATTCGTTATATAAAAAATACTAATGAGGACACGACTACAATAGATACTGCCTTATTAGTATTCTTTATATAAAGAATACTAATTAGGAGTGTTTTATCAGGTTTAAAGCCACTACACGTGACATATTATGGTTGACATGATTTGTCAGTAAGCTTATGAATTATTAATGAGTGTTTGAAGTGTATATTAAATGGTGGGGCATGTATGCGGTATATCAATTAAGAATATAGAAGTGTAAGATCTACAGGGTGTATAAAAAAGGAGACCTTTAGAAATCAACCTTATTTTTATAAGTTGAATACTATGTAAGCATCACTCAATGCATTAATGACCAGGAGCGAAATATATTGTGCTTAACAACAATAGATTAATTTCCAAAGATCTCCTTTTTCATGATAACCATTTATATTGTGAGAGATTTAAACGTACCAGATGGTTAAACAATATAACACCAGCATTAGGAGGCAGCATTGGAATGTGGACTAACAACTTGTTTAAAAGGAATACCAGTTCCTTCTATGTTGCAAAAGAAAACAAAGACTTATAAAAACAGTAACAGTATTAAAAGCCATAGAGCGAGTGGAAACTAAACGGAAATACCATCCGGTTATAACGACACTATAAAGTATTGTATAGAATAAACATAAAACAGAAGAAAACACATGACTAAATATAAAATAAAACAGATATTAAATACCTGTTTACTAGGCTTCGTTATCTCTTCGAAAAAGGTTCGGAAAAACAACATTGGGTCATCAACTAAACACTCCCATAATGTGCTCTTTGCCATATTTGATACTACACAAAGCGATAATGTAAACGTCAATCAGTCTATATACACTACGATATTTGTACCGGAATGAGGAACTTTCCCAATGTGTATCAAAGAAGTGCAAGGTTTTGAAAGATTTGCCTTAAGTATATACATCGTCTCAAGGACAGCAATCATAATAAATTAATACAAAGGTGCATACAAAGGTGGGTTCGATTACAATTTAGGAAAGCAACCAGAATCTCTGAATTCCTATATCATGATTCCCTGTATCGAAATTTATTGAGACTTATTATATATATGACAAAATTAGTGCAATCTGATTGGTTAAGAGTAGTGCAATTATTTCATTAATTGCGCTCTCCAGGATTGCAATTAATGATTTTCGTGATGGCTGGGGGGAGCGGGAAATCAAAACAACAAAATCCAATATGGCGGCGAAATTTAAATAAGTATTTTATATAACAAATGTGGACACAAGAATGAGTTTAAAAAACATTTGTATGGCAAAAAGAGCCTGTGGAAAATACCTGGAAACAGTTTTAAGAAATAATCTCGGCGGGAATGCATCGAAACGTGACTATGTAAGTTTGTAAATTTACAATTTTACATAAAGATTTTCTTCGTCTAAAATATGTTGTTTGAGTTTGAATCTTGTGTTCTAGTTTAAGTTATGTGCCTTTATGTATAAGTAATCACACGGGAAGGAGTGCAATTAATGATTAACACTACGAGTGATTTTTGAAATAATTGCACTCCTCTTAACCAATCAGATTGCAGTAATTTTGTCATGTACATAATAAGAGTTTATAATGAATTCCCAAGTTTGTTCATACCAAATTGCTTACAAAAGAATTAAAAACTCTTGACAAAATGCAGTTGAATTTTAAAGAAAGCGATTTTGTCATGCATATAATAAATAAATAATCACACGGGCAAGTCGTGCAATTAATGATTAACACTCAGGATGCATCGCAACGGACACGTAGGAATAGGCAACGCAACATGCCAAATTGTACGTAACATACTGGAATATGCAAGTGAACTCTGGTCACCATGCACCATCAAACACCAGATGATATTGGAAAACGTGCAACGCTGGGCTACAAAATTTATATATTAAATGACCTGATGACCTCAATTACAAACAGCACCTCTTTACATAAGTTATCCTTGTTACTTTTGGACTATAGAGGAGATTGAAAAGACACGATTCTTTTACTCAAACACAGACTAGGCTTAATAGTTCTAGATCATCGCTCCTTACAACAGTGCTCTGTCCAAAATCGTATAATTATACCGTAATTTTTCCTCCCTAAATTACAAGACAAAGCGAGCAACTCAAAATTAACTAAAATACTCCGGTATTTCCACCGTGTCGTTTCCACCTGGAACTCACTACCACTAGATATCAAAAGTTCAACCAATTTAGTAACTTTTAAAAAAGCTATCTCAGACTATTACACGATGAGACTTGATTCTTATATTCTTCCTGACGAAAGACGTACTTAAATAATTTTAGACTAAACACTGTAATATATCTTACTAATTCAATATTTTAACATGTTTTTTAGCCATCAGGGGTTTTATGTCAATTGGGGCTTTGCCCTGTTTCTTTCCCCTGTTATTACTGTAAAGCTGATAACTAATTTAATAAATCCAAATTCAAAAATGACGCATCTTATCGCCACGAAAAGATATCCGAAGTTTGTTTCTGCAGATTCAAAGTTATTGACTCACCTGCTGTTTGAGATAAAGTTACAGACGCATCGTCAAGGAGTCCAATAATACGAGGAATAGCAGATGACATTGCAGGTGGCCAGAAGTCTGTCGTAATAGGATGAGTAACCACATCACTACCTGTAAGACAAATAAATATGTTATTTACCCGAGAACAAGGGAATATTTTTCCTAAGCACCGATCATGCATGGTCAAAAAATAAAGGTGATTATGAAACTCGGTGCAATACATTAGAATTCATTTTAATGTATCTATGTTGGTTTACCTTTACGCAAAAATATAGTTGGTTCATGCACATATGTCTCGTTCATCCACCACACGTTTAATTTCTTCGAGTTTGTAATTTGTCAATTGCTGTTATTAGTACAGGCCAATGCCTGCTTTACAATTTCAAATTGGCATTGTACCAGGAACAATTTGCCCAGCACTTTTTTAGCTTCTCCTAATTTCGGTAGCATTTTAAACTTTGCATATTTCTCACAACCACCATTTCTTCACGTTAGAATTTGTCAAATCATTTTACCAAATATGGCAAATGAGTTTTAAAGTATTAATGTTGCATGTAAACAACGCATTAAGATTAAAACACTTTGATTTAATTTGAAGATTTGTTGCTTCCTATCATCCTTTGGGCTTTGGACAGTATCAGTAATAAATATTGCTTCCACACTTTTTTCAAAACATTTCTACACGTTTATAATATAAACATCGTGCTATTTTCATACCGTGATATCGCGTCTCTATAACATCATTTTTCTGCCGTTTTGCTGTTGTGAAAGAGTTAGAAAAAGCCGAGAGATCACAAGTGGTAAACAAATTTATAAGCTAACCTTCTTCTGCCTCAACAGGAGTTGAAGCCTCAAGGGAGACGGACGTATTTGTGAAATTATAGTACGTTCTTTGTTTCTTCTTTTGTTCCTCCACTTTCAAAGCCTCCTCTTCGTCTTTTTGTTTGTCTTCTTCTGTCAACTCAAGTTCGTTCTTTGTAATATGGATGGACGCCCTTGGATCCCATGGACAGTCGGGCACAGGGGGCGCACATGAGCCCACTGGAGGTGATGGCAGCGTAAAATCAAGCTTTGGGAGAGGTATCTAAATAAAAGAATTCTATATGTCATATATATATATATATATATATATATATATATATATATATATATATATATATATATATATATATATATATATATATATATATATATATATGTTATATATATATATATATATATATATATATATATATATATATATATATATATATATATATATATATATATATATATATATATATATATATATATATATATATATATATATATATATATATATATATATATATATATATATATATATATATATTCCATATATATATTCCATATGGTCACTATAGTCCAAGTATAGAGTATAAAACCTTGGCTGTCCTTGCCTTGTTTATATTTTGCTGGCTGAAAATTACGATTACATAAAATAATACATTCCCCATTGTGTTTACACCATAATAATACGAAGCTTTCTTTGAAGCTTTTAAAATTAATACATTTGCCTGTCAACGTGTATAACACGGGAAGGGGTCTATTTACTAGTTTCCTAAGTCATTTATTATATTTAAATACTGCAATATTTATAAATGTAGTACAGCCATACAGGTGCAAAGCATAATATAACTTTGAACGGTCTTCGTCTACTATTAATTTCCAGACAAAGTCGAAGGGCCTTCGCTTGAAAGGTTGAAACAAGTTTTACAAAATAGAATCCTTGTTTGAATTAAGTGGAAGATACATTGCCAAAAAAATTTTTTTTTTTTGCCCACCCCGGACCCGTCAAAAAATTTTCATTTTTTTGCTCACCCCGGACCTGTCAAAAAATTTTCATTTTTTTGCCCACCCCGGACCTGTCAAAATTTTTTTATTTTTTTGCCTACCCCGGACCTGTCAAAAAATTTTCATTTTTTTGCCCACCCCGGACCTGTCAAAAATTTTCATTTTTTCGCCCACCCCGGACCTGTCAAAAAATTTTCATTTTTTTGCCCACCCCGGACCTGTCAAAAAATATATTATCATATCTTATTGAAGAATTTAAACCTCCAAAGAAGAATTCAACAACAGGTAGGCAATTTGTCTGAGCATGCGCGCAGAAAATCAATATGGCGACGTATATTAGGAGTGTTTCGTGGATTTATCTGGTTTTAAAGCTGATAAAACAACATTTTAATGAACGAAAACTTTGTAATATTTAGTAAAAAAACATTAAGCTGTGCATTCCAAAGGTATTAAAATAAAAATAAGTACTTTTGCTTTATTTTATTGCTTTTTATGCTTTGAAAACAGGCAAGCTCATATTTTTTGAAAAAATCTTATCTAATATTTTACCCATTATTTGTTTAATCTGAACAAAAATAGATAGAACACTTGGCTATATAAGTTATAAAGGTATTGTTAGCTGATCTGAAAGATTTCAGTATTTCAGGTGCACATTTTAACAAAGAATAAAATTAAAATATATGCATATCAAAAACAATGGTTTTTATTAGAACAACACAGAATAAGTTGTTATTTTCTATTTTTACAAAAAACAAGTTTGAAAACAGGATCTAGTCCTCCGGCTTGATGTCATATTCCATTTATTTGGATATTTGAATAAAGGAATGTGAAATAATAATTGAAACTTGACCAAAATTTGATACCAACACTGGAGTGAATAGATACTATCACCTATAAATAAAAGAAAACAGAACTTAAATTTATCATATAATGCCATGAAAAAATCTTAGATATTACAAGCATATAGTGAACAAATTCACTAAAATAAGTTAAGTTATGCTACAATAAGAGGATGGCAATATATGACAACATCAAATGTTACCACCTTCAGTGTCCAAAAAAAGTGCCGCGCGCATTTTTCGTGGTCGCATAACTGGCATTGCCACAAACCCAGGTGAAAAAGCAATTAGAAAAACCTGGTTTTGGGTGATGAGCATAGTCAAATTCTTGACTTATTCAATTTTCTAAGTTTTTCCAGGTAAACAGATTCAACATTGAAATAAGCCCCATTCGGGACCTTATAGGGTCCAAAATATTGTGTATGGACCAGATTTTTTTCAATTTTCTGTGATTTACATAACACTAGTTATAATTTAAGGGTCAACCAGTATTGTTCAAGACATATTTTCCTTCCAGAACACCTTTTCAAAATACTAACCCAAGCATGTCAAAAATAGTGTACATTTACAAGGGCAATTTCAACCCTTTGGCACATTTTCCCCATGAATGATTTTAATTCTAATATAAAGACTATAGATAAAACTTTGATTTAAAGCTAGTTTCAAGTGATGAGCATACCCTAAATTTTAAGCTATACCTCAAAGAAGATAGGTCATTTCAACATAAACATTGAAATATGGGTATACTGTCAGCTCTGTCACACGTGTAGTTTGACATTAGCAGCCCTTCTGAAACATTTTAATGAAAGTATAATTCACAAAATTCACATTTTCACTTACTTCTTAACATCTGTTTTAATCCAACTAGCTCTGTAGGCACGAGCAAAGTTTAGTGTTGTCAACACTGTGTTGATGTAAATAT